CAGGATTTTCCCAGACATGCCAAAGGGAGTTTGACGGGGGGGTGGCGATTTGCCTTTCTGAGAAACGGGACTGGCATTTCCCTAAAGGCCAAATACAGGTTACAACCAGCTACAGGTTTCCAAGAAATTGACGGAGTGAGTTCGGGGAGACCCCAATGTCCTTGCCTTCTTCCCTACACCCCATGATGAACCCCTTTTCTCCTGGAGGGGGGAATCTCCCTTTTCTTTATTTTCCCTTCCTTCAAACCTTCCCCATTTCTGGGGGAGGCCCTTCCTCCCCTCCCTGTTCTACCTGCCTCCGCCCTCCCCATGTCCAGGTACCTCTCGGGGATGTCCGCTCCCCACGTCGATCGGCCACTCTCCCGCCGGTCCTGCTTGCAGCTCACCCGACAAATGACACGCTTCCCTCCCCAGCCAAGCTTCCGCAAGCGGCCATAAGGCAACCGCATGCGAAGGAAAAGGCGGAGACTTGGTGGTGGTGGTGGTGGTGGGGAGACTCGGGAGCCCCTGGTGGCGGCTTTCGGGAATTACAGCAGACACCCGTTCTGCTTTCGTAAGCGGCAACCTCTCGCGTCACTGGAGAGGCGTGACGGATGCTCTCCGCAGACTCCCGTCAACGAAGAAACCCTGAGATCCTAAGGCTAAGGAGGTGGGGGAAGAGCAGACTCCCCCTTCTTGGCGGGGGTCTCTCAAGTGCCAAAGGGTTCCGAGTTGAGACACGATTTTTGCTTGTTCTTGAACGCATCCCCATTAAGTTAACCCTCATTGCCATTTTTTATTGTGGGCATATGACACACATTTAAAATGAAATTCTATTGTCTGTTTTCAAAAGAAAGTGTACAGTATATGTCTACCCATACCTATACAACACACAAACACACGGGGGTGGGGGCTTCATGGCATCTGAAGCAGAACATCTAGATTCAGTCACAGTTTTGTTCCATATAGCACCGATCTTGAGAGCCCTTTCAAGCTTCCTCTTTCAACTCTATATTCAAAATGGACAGTGCAGGTGTACCTGGGCCAGTCACTCATTCTCTCAGCCCAATTCATCTCACAGGGTTGGTACCAAAGATGGTAACTGAGATCAGATGAATTAATATTACAGTTCACAAATTGCATTCCAAGCAGTAAGACAATGTAATCAATCATAATTGTATGTTTTCTGGGGTTTCCACTATATTTTCAGTTGTAGTAACTTGATTTTAAATTGCAATGAAATTCATATCTCTGGAATTCATATTTGGTAAGGTGCCCCAAGTCTGCTGGAGGACCATCTTAAGGCATTTCATAAAATAAATAAATTAATATCTAGTTTTTCTGAACAACTTTGCCATTGATTTACAAAAACATGCCATTCAAGATCATTATTCCAAAGGTTGCAGAAGTAAGATTAAGCAAGATTAAGCAGTATCAATGTATAACATTTCAAATATAGAAATAAGCTTAACTCTTTTTGACTTCCTTTGGTCACTTCCAAATAAGAGTTAATTAGCTCTATAGCTATGCTTTGCTATGAAACTATGTAATCAGGCTTAGTTTTTAGGGAGGAAAATAAGTGGGGGGAATTGTGCCTCTGCCTACCAGCATCCATCGGTATTCATCTGGCTAGTGTCCTGTCAGTGTGTGAGAGAGTTGAGGGCTGTTGGGAAACTGAAACATGGAAACTGAAACAGTATTTGCTGTATGAGCAAAGAGGAGACAGCAAGGAGCCTGGATATGGCTTAGCTCAACTGTTCCGTACTAAAGCTGGTTGCTGCTGTGAAACTAAAACGGAAACTCCTCTGCTTGTGTTTTACATTTGGAACAGATTTCTTTTCAGGTAGGGAGAGGAAGTAGAACTCCTTAGAGTCAGAGCGTGTTAATAATGATATATGAAATACTAATGCTCTGATAGCCTTTTTGAAAAATCCTTTCTTAGTGAGCACCTAGAAGCCAAGAGAAACATATGTGCCAAATTTCAAGTTTGTAGGCTTTACAGTTCTGGAGATTTTATGATGATGCGTGAGTGGTATTTCGCTTTTATATATATATATAGATTTGGAACCAAACTCCAACTTCTAGGAAATCACCAACATGTAACAGGATTAATTCTTTCTCTTGTAACTGGAGAACTGCGGCAAATACTTAAAGATGCAATCTTTTTCCATCCTCTTTCATTCTCCATTCCGACATAAATACAGACTTTTATTAGACTGATGCCTTTACATTTTTTAACATCTGATCCAATTGTCCCAGACTGTTCAGAAATTGTCTATCAATTCATGTGTACCATAGTGGCAATGGCAGTCCAATGTATACTTTTAAAACATCAAATTAGGGAAAAGTTATTTAGCTGGATTAGTGAATAAGTCATCTTGAGTTATTTATACTGTATTTTATTTCTTAGTTTTTGTTATCCTGCCTTTATTACTTTTATAAATAATTCAAGGTGAAAAACATACATAATACTCCTTCTTCCTCCTGTTTCTTTCCCATAACAACCCAGTGAGGTGGGCAGGGCTGAGAGAGAATAACTGGTCCAAAATCACCCAGATGGTTTTCGAGTTTAAGACAGGATTAGAACTCACAGCCTCCTGGTTTTTAGCTTGGTGCCTTAACTACTATACCAAACTAACTATCTAATATACATTTTTTGGCTCCCTGGCCCAACCCAATGTAGGTTTCTTGCTACATACATCTAATTTTGCACCTAAGGCCAAGTATTCAAACTCTAAATTTCAGGAACTTATTCTTAGATTCAGCATTACATGTGTGTTTGGGTTTACATATGTTTGTACATTAAGAAGAAAAGAGAGGTTCTTCCTTCCAGCAACTTTAGTCAAAATAATGGCCTAGATTTTTAGCTTGAATTGAATCAAACAATCAAGCAAAGATGGAAGAAAAATGAATAAGAAAATCAGGGGTATTTCTGCCTTGCAGTCATCTTGAAAGTTCATTGTATCTTTTCACCAAATGTCAGCTGCTGTTTTTCCGATTTCCCAGATCTTTCCTTTCCCTATTACTTTGGAGTTGCAAAAGTATCTTTCTTAATGCTCATATGAAACACAGGATGCAAGGGGGAGTTCCTGCCCCTCTCCCCGCAAAAAAAGTTTCTCCTTTGAGAAGCATTTATATTTCTTAATTTCGTCCGCTTTTTATTTTGCCTTGACCTTTTTCACTGTAACAGTTTTGGCTACCAGAATTTAAAAAGAAAAAAGAAGCTTCAGTTGTATTTGTTCTATTTTATTGTGCATTGTTCCAGGCTTTCTTTAATAAATGATCTTGATTTTTACCTTTAACATTTATTTATGTTATCTTAGTGTTTTATTTTGTTATATTATGGCTACTGTAACAAGACAAGGTACATATATAAAATCAATGCCTCTAGCATCTAATTTGTGGTGCGTAACCTTTTGCAGAATGCCACCATCCAGATGCAGAAAGATATTTCGGTATTAACAAGCTTGAATAAGCCCCAGGTTAGCAGAGGTCCACTTATAATTCAGTAGACTCTCTAGTCCTAGACTACTGGTAAACAAGACGAAATGGAAAATCAAGGGGGTGAATGGAAGGAAAAAACGGAGGCTCCATGAAAGGGCAATTTCAAGACACCCTGAAATTATAAACTTAACATACCATGTAGTAACATTCTTTGGCAGATACAAATTGCTGTTGTCTTTCCTGTTAATTTTCTAACAGGAAAATGTATTTCCTGTTAGATAGATTAGATAGATAGATAGATAGATAGATAGATAGATAGATAGATAGATAGATAGGCAGGGTCTGTCACAATTGAATGGTCCTCAAGAGATTGGTTGTAAGTCAGGAACTACCTTTAAATCTTGGCTGCCAAATCAGTCAATGAACCAACAGAAAGAACTAGAAAATTTACAAGGACACCAAACATGAAAGCTTGAATTGCTAACAATTGTGAAAATAGTTCCATTTTTTTTAAAAAAGCAAAAGAATAAAAGAGTTAACATTTGATTTTAAATTTATGCCTGCTGGATGGAGGACGTGGACCAAATGGAAGACATATTCTCCTTTTGCTGTATGTTCAGTAACTTGTAGTTATCCCACGTTACTCAACACAACCAGAGCTGGAATTTAAGAAAAGTCCAATTAAACCCAGGTAACTTTGTTACAATCCAGGATGGATCCAATCTTTCTTATTATCTATCAGTTTCTGTGTTTATATTTATGATATGTTAACAAGAAATCATACAAAATAAAATTGAATTTATTTTCAGAGTGAGAAAGAAACTACCAGTATACAATTGTTATGTATAGATACATATATTGTATATAACACATATTTAACATGCATTTATCATTATTTAAACTTCAGTCTATTCCATATTTTTCATTTGCTTCACTCAATGTTTCTTCCAATTCTTGTAGATGTGTGCCCGTAATGATGAATCTATGAAATGTGTGCAACATTTTGGGTGACATATCAGTGTTCAACAACACCCAACAACAACTAATCTTGAAAGCACACCCTGTTTTCATGTGATATTTGGAGGCTGCTGAAAGCCGGATATGGCTTCCTAGCCTCAAACCTAAGCATGGATATTTTCCAATGAAACGGACCGAGGCAGGAAGATCATTTCATTATGATTTGTTCAAAGTGCTCTGATTAAAAAGGATTCCTCTCATTCAAAGAGAGCCTCTCGATTCTCAGCTTAAATTCTATTTCATTGTTAACACATTAAAGAAAATATATGAAAAGTTGATTGGACAGGACAAAAGTAACTTCCCCTTTGCATGTAGTCAAACACGTTACATATAAGTCTATTTAAATGAGGTCTGATGAAAGCAAGGGCATTTAAGATGTTAATGAGGAAAAAAGTCATAGGTTTGTTTGGAGTTCACAGAGAGAGACAAACCAAAGTGGTCCTCTACTTAGAGTTCATGTAGTGACTGTTTGAAATGGCACTGAAAAAGGTGAATTATGACCATTTTTCACACTTATGACTATTGCATAATCTCCATGGTCACGTGATTTACATTTGGATGCTTGGCAACTTGCAGAGAAAGGATGGAGCAGAAAAAGGCTGTGGATGAACTAAAACAGGAGTCTCCAACCTTGGCAACTTTAAGATTTGTTGACTTCAACTCTCAAATTTTTTCAGCCAGCCAATCTGTATGAGAAACTCTGGGAGTTGAAGTTCACAAGTCATAAAATTGCCAAGATTGGAGACCCCCTGAACTAGAGCTACCAATTAAAGGTAGTCCTCCACTTACATCAGTTCATTTAGTGACCGGTTGAAGTTACAATGGCACTGAAAAAAGTGACATGATTGTTTTTCACACCTAAGATGTTTCAGTACCCCCATGGACACCTTATTTACATTCAGATGCTGGACGACTGGCACATATTTATGATGGCTGCAGTATTCCAAGGTCATGTGATCAACTTTTGCAATTTTCTAATAAGCAAAAACAATGGGAAAACC